ACCAGAAGGCTGGCGGTTCACACCCACCAGCCACTCCTCGGAAGGAAGATGGGGCAATCTACTTCCGTAGTGATATGCCTTGGAAACCCAAGGAGGGGTCACTATGAGTTGGATCCTACTCGATGGCACATAACAACAACAACAACAGAGGCTCAGTAGAACAGGAATAAGTAGATGTCTTATACAGAGCAATGTAGCAGGATGAGGGAGCTTCAAAGCCTACTTCTTTTTGATTTGCTGCTACTTCCAAGTTGTTTTCATTAGAATGTCTCCTGTAGAAACATTAGTACATTTGTGTATGAGGTTTTCAAAAATGATGGCAAGCTCCTTTTAAAATACTTCTTAGCAGTTGAGTAGATTTTTTTAATTCCTGACAAATTACCTTATCCTTATTCTTTACTGTAGTTGCTTTAAGTACAACTCTGCATTTTCCCATTTCTTACAATGGAGGGGCATTGATCTTACTAGAGATAGCCAAGGACTTCAGCTGGGACTCGCACTGCTTACTAATAGTTTTTTTTTTTTTTTTACAGTGACAGTGGCTCGGTGTTGTTTGCCCATAAGATAACCACCTTGGGAAACCTCTGCATTTTAAGAGATCTTTGTGATGCTAGCAAATGTACAAGTGAAATTTAATCTTGTATTCAAATTTACAAACACTTACTGTGTTCTTGCACAAACCAAATGATTAGGTTCACAGATATTCTATTCACATGAATAAATATGGATTTTCTCTCCCATTTTAAATTGTTTTGTTTGGAAGACATTGAGTATTGAGGCATTATGGAGACTTGCCAAAAATCTGGGCCTCTGATACTCCTGGAATCCAAGAAATAAGTCAGAGTCTTCAAATGCCATCATATAGCTTTAAACATACTGTTTGTGTTATAAAGAGCAAAGTGTAGGGCACGTAAATTTATTGGTTTATTTTCCTCTTGGCAGAATTAAGATGCTTTGGTTTCAAGGCAATAGAATACAACTTGGCAAATATTCCTTTGGATTCCTCTTGAGAAATCTCTCTGCCTCCCAGACTACTCTGCCTGTGCTGACCTTATTCACAAAGGTACAGAGTGAAAATAAAATTACTACTATAGAAATGTAAAGTATTAAAATCGTTGGGCAAAGAAAATTATACATTTAGGAAAGAGAAAAAATATTGAAAGAAAAGGGAATGGAATGACCTTTCTTCAGACCGGCTTCTCAATTTTTCCATCTGCATAATTGTAGTAACTCCATTTCCTACCCAAACACCTCATTGTTTCACAAATATGAGAGGGCACATTAATATATTTAGTAGTTATCTGTCCCATACCCTGAAAGAAAAGATCTCTCGGGTTATAATATGTTTACAAATGTATCATTTAGAAATACTGATCTTCTATCCCTAACACTAGTTAGTTTTAAGCCATGAATTTATTTTCTAAAGAGCTTTTGTCCCCACTGAAGTTTATAGTATGAACATTACTGATTCCATTTTTCTAGTTGATATTACTTTGTGTGATATGTAATCATAAAAGATACAAAATGCAAGATAATAGAATTAACTTTAGTAAATACTGCAATTCAAACAAAATAGGTCTTTTTAGTAGGTTTTTCAGATTTCAGCAATTTGTAACTATCCAACAGTCACTTATCTAATAACAAAGTTTAAGTAGTTCTCAAAATAAATTTCTTATTGAATATGCTTAATCTAAACTGCTTCTTTTATCTTTATACGTTTCACTGTTGGAATTGATCAAACAAAAATATTTCATCTGAGAGTCTAGTATTGGAAATGTATGTGAGAAGTAACTACAACAATAAAATATTCCTTAAAGCTAGTGGTACTCACTTGGCCTAACTTTTCTACACTCTTTTTCAATCTGAGCAGCAGTTCAGGTAGCCAAAAACATTTTCCAACTCACACACACACACGCTAACCTATTCAACTCAGTATTTGCACTAAGTCCTTGATCTGTGCCATTAGGCATATACTACCATTCTGCCCCTTAGAGTTTGCAATCCAGTTAAAGGAAACACAAAGCAAACCAAACCTACTGCCACCAAGTTGATTCTGACTCTTAGAAACCCTACTGAACAAAGTAGAACTGCCCCATAGGGTTTCCAAGAATGTAAATCTTATTTTAAAATTATAATTTGGGTGAAAGTTTACAGAGCAAATTGGTTTTCCATTCAGCAATCCATACACATTCTGTTTTGTGACATTCACTACAATCCCCATGCTGTAATGGCATTCTTCCCACTTCCTTCCTACTCCCACCCCTTCCCTTTTTCCTTCTTTCCCATTCACTCTCACCTTCCTGGCTATACCTGGGCAAATACTGACCTCTTGTTGTCATGTACTTGACTGTTGTAATAAATGCTGATATTACTGTTTACCTTAAGGAGTTCTGGTTGTGTAGTGCCTAAGGCATTTGACTGCTAACCAGAAGGCTGGAAGTTCAAACCCATCAGCCACTCTGCAGAAAGGAGACTAGGCGATCTACTTCCGTAAAGATTTACCACTTTGGAAACCCAAAGGGGTTTGCTATGAGTTGGAGTTGACTTGATGGCAGTGAGTTTGGTTTTGGTTTTTATGGGTCTATTGTTTGGGAGCTCTGGTAGCATAGTGCCTAAGGCACTTGGCTGCTAACCAGAAGGCTGGTGGTTCAAACCCACCAGCCACTCCTCGGAAGGAAGGTTGGGCAATCTACTTCCGTAGTGATACTGCCTTGGAAACCCAAGGAGGGGTTGCTAAGAATTGGGTCCGACTCAATGGCACATAGCAACAATAACAAACAACATTGTTTGGCTGGGGGTTAAGTTCAGTTCTAGCTTGAAGGATGTCTAAGGGCTGTTCTCAGATGTTCTACTTGTCCAGATCAGACTAGTCAGCCTGGTCTCTTTTTATGATTTTGAGTTTTGTTAGGGCTGTAAATCTTTATGGAAGCAGACTGCCTCATCTTTCTCCCACAGAGCAGCTGGTGGGTTCGAACTGCTGACCTTTTGCTTAGCAGCCAAGTGCTTTAACCACTACGCCACCAGACCTCCTTCAGTTAAATAAAGGGATACTTAAACTATAGTATTAGATCTTTTTCAGTTATAAATAATAGAAAATACTTCCCAGACTGACTTAAAGAGATTTTATAGGTTGGTCTGGTTTCAAAAGCAACTTGATTCAGAAACTAAGCATGTTATAAATATCTTCAACTCTGTTTCCTCTGGATTAAATCCATCCTCACTCAACCTCCTCTCATGGATGACTGTAGCAACCCCAATCCCCAGTTACCTTCAGAAACTCTAGCAAAAGCCCCGTGGCTTTCTACTGGCTCTGATGGTCCCATCCCTGAGCTAACCCTACAAAGAGGGATATGATGCTGATTGCTTCAGGCTAAGTTAAATGTTCCACCCTTACTGCTTGGGAATGGAGTCAGCCATGAGGCATGAGCTGAGAGTAGTTTCTGTGAGTAAAATCACAGCACCCTTGATGTATGAAAGGGGTGTGGGTGGTGGACTGTCAACCCAACAAATTCCCACTGCAATTAATAGAGTAACAAGTGCTATGTTGCTGCCATAGAGAATCCCAGAGAAGGATGCTATTAATGCTGCTTGGAGAGTGCTCTTGTTTTATAACTTTTAGAGAAACAAAAAGCTATCTTCTTCAAATCTACAACCCTTAGTTCATTTTTCTTTGTAGACATAAAAGTAATCCTTGAAAGCTTTATTCCTTTAACCTATAAAACAGACTTAAGTAGTAGCCTCTCTCTCTCACACCCCCCAAAAAGTCACCAAAATCTTAATATTAGTTGGATCTTCATATGAATTATAGCTAACTTAAATAATAAAAATATTATTAAAACAAAAGATAACATCTATTTTAAGTATTGGAATTAACTTAATTTTTGTGGTGGTTAAATGTTCCAGATCATTGGGTCTTACCCTTTTTTCCATTCATAGGCCCTTTAAAATCTGATGAACCTCTCCTTATAAAGATATATACACATATGATAATTGACATGAATTTCCATAGGCCCTATGTTAAAAATAAACAAACAAAAACTTTTTCTGTGCTATTTGAATTTTTTTTTTTCATGTAAGTGTAAAATTTTGGTACAGGTGGTTCTTCTGCAATTTAGTATGTTCTTGTTTTGCTTTTGTTTTTAAGATCCTGTGTTGATATTTTGAATGATTGTCTCAAAACATCACAGATGATCCATAATGATCTGTTTCTTGATAATGTTAATAATAACATCATGAGCGTAATTCTCTGACCCAAGAAATTAGAGCCAGAAACACAATTTCCTTCTGAAGAAAAATGGTCTTTTGATGATCTGGATCCTTATTTCAAAACAAGTTTTGAGTTGAAATGGAGGAAGGAATGCTTTTATATATCACAGATCATCTCTTATCATGTTAAAAAGCAAAGCAGTATCATTACAGAAGTAGATTGTCCAGTCTTTCTTCCGAGGAGTGGCTGATGGGTTTGAACCACCAGCCTTCTGGTGAGCAGTCAAATGCCTTAGGCACTACGCCACCAGAGTGCCCAGGTTTTATATAAGCATCAGTAATTCTGCAACTATTTTAAGCTCATCAAAGGAACTTATACTCATTGCTGTCGAGTTGGATCTGACTCATAGCAACCCCTCCCTGGGTTTCCAAGGCAGTATCACTATGGAAGTAGATTGCTCAACCTTCCTTCCAAGGAGTGGCTTGTGGATTTGAACTGCCATCCTTCAAAGGAACCTATAGCTAGTCCATATTCGCAGAGTCAAAGGCTGAGACACTTTTAGAACTAGCCAGTGATCGACAGTATTCTTGACAGATTTTTCCCAAGGTGGTTAGCAGTGCGAAAGTGGGCACTGAAACTTGCTTGCCCCTCAGGTGAAGAATTAATCTGGGAGCCGCACACCTGACACTCCTAATGAGAATACAGGCAAAGCATTAATGAGTTGATACCACCATCATCCAAAGTAAGTAGAGACTTTCTTCTTTTTAAAGATAGGGCAATCACTATTTTATACCATCCTAATGGATTCTTCCCATAGACTTATTAGGGAAAACAGACTGGCTAGGTTCAGTGACCCCACCTGCATCAGAATAAACTTTAAGCCATTCAGGGAGTGTCAGCCAGGCAAACCGTATGAAGCCAGGATGGTGCAAGGCTCCAAGAAAAGTAATCCTTCCAGGTATCAATTAGATGAAGCTGGTAATCGATACAAGGAGCTCTGATGGCATAGTGGATAAGGCATTTGGCTGCTAACTAGAAGGTCAGTGGTTCAGACCCACCAGCCACTCTGTGGAAAGAAGATGGGGCAATCTACTTCTGAAAAGATTTACAGCCTCAAAAACCCAATGAGGGTCACTATGAGTCAGAATCAACTCAATGGCAGTGAGTGAGTAATAAATATAAACATATAAATTTCTTATATATTTATAAGTTTGTATGTTAAATAAAATTTATGGAGAGAAAAAAAGCAACCAAAAATTGCTGAGAAAAAAATTTTTCATTTACCATGAAAAATAAGCTATTTACAAGATTCTCTGGCAATATTTTGCCTCGGAAATAAAGCAGTGTAATTGACCTGATAGACAACTGTCCTTTAAAATAAGTATAATCTGTTTTGTTTGTGTTTTTCTTTTTCTTTTTCTTTTTTTGTTTTGTGAGACTACATATCATTCTTTGGATTTAATGGCTTTATTTTTTTTTCCTGTAGGATCCATGCCCCCTTTGTGATGAAGCCAAAGAAGTACTCAAGCCTTATAATAACAGAGTAATACAATACAGTTGGCTTTTATGTGCATGGAATGTATATTGTATGTGGTATAAAGTATCTGCCTGGATCCTTTCTTTAGGAAAAGAGATTAAATGATTTTTCATTTAAATTTTCTTTCTATTCTTCAGAGAGAGATTTTAGTGCTGATTTCCATAAAACTCATTACCCCTAAGTGTTTTCCTCTGAGCAGTACTGGTTTTCTTACTTTGCCTCTTAATATGAGCCAAAGTTAACTAGCAGGTGTACTATTCATGCTTTTTTAAACCTTTGTCTTCATTCCTTTTATCTTGTTTTGCACTTTTAATGATATTTTCATGTAGCATATCATCACACCTTTTCCATTCTTACAACCAAAACACTTCTGCTCTGATTCTCAGGCAGCTTCCTTGTTGGGCTGTCTCAAATGGATTATTTTATTTCATGAGGAAGTGAGTAGTTCCCTGAATGTAACAGGTGTAATAGAAAAGTAGCTAGATCAGGAGTTAGGGAATATAACAAAACTAATCAAGGTCTAGAAATCAGTGGCATTTGATCACTATGGACCTAAAAAAATTAAAAAAAAAAAAAAACCCTCACCATTAAAAAGGTCTGGGGATCATATCACTGCAATTGTTGCCTTGTTCCATGTTCTCTAAAATGCAACACTTTAGCGTGTCTATATTTCAGTTTATTTTACAGGAGGTAGACATCACACTTCCAGAAAACTCCAACTGGTATGAAAGGTATAAATTTGACATTCCTGTCTTCCATTTGAATGGCCAGTTTCTGATGATGCATAGAGTGAACATCCCCAAACTTGAAAAACAGCTCCTGAAACTTGAGCAGCAAGGTGCCGGAGACTGACGAATGCCCTCATGATTTTTCACCTTCTTTGTCCACAAGGCATCTTCCTGAGGAAAGGACCATGGCTGCCTCATACTCCTTTGTCACTGTTGCACAGCCCTGAAGGATGTTCTGAACTCAGTGGGTGCCAAATAAGTGTTGACATTCCTCTTTTGATTGATAGAATACAAATATGGGAACTGTTACTTGTTGGCATTTTAGAATAGAAGAAGAGCCTGTCGATGGGGAGAGGGACGATGGAGGGAGGGAGAAGTTGACTTGTCGTATTTTTCCTTTTGGTATTGATGTTGAAGCACATCACATTCATTGGACAGTGTCATTCGTAGGTAGAGCACTCTGTGTGCATGCTGCTGCCCTGAAGGGCTTAACTTTTTAATAAAAGAATAAATGCTCTTCCACTCATTAGATGAAACGAAATGTGAATTGTTAATGCACTGTGCTCAGTCAGTAAAGGGATATTTTAACAAATACATCTGTATGTAGCCTATTTCACTGGAATTTAATAATACCTGTTTAAAATTAGAGTTCATTTTTCTTGGGTAGAAGAAAATGATCCTAGCTGAAGACGCTTCATAAGAGAAAAACAAAAGAAAGACAACCCCAAAAATGTTCTAAGAACCTCAGCATGCTTTACACATAGTCAGTAAATTGATTTGTAACATTTCAGGACTGCCTTTGATTGTTACTCAGTTATCATCAATCGAGTTCATTAAGCTTATTATAAGACAATGACTTTATCAACTTTTAATATCTGGGGGAAATTAATTTCTGACCGTGACTGGACAGATTTGTCATCTAAAGACAAAATATCCTTTTCTCCATTTTATGTAAAGTATTAAAATGTATGTGTATCATCTTTATTTACATTTAGTCAGATTCAGCCAATATATGAATGGATCCATTTAAAAGCAAAAATGGTTTTTCCTCTTAAAATCACAATTTCAATTTCATCTATAATAAAATTCTTTGATGAACTATTTTAATGAGTTTGGATAGTTGTGAATCATTTGGCTATATTTAAATTTGATCAGTATGATTTAGCCTTAGAAATTATAGACTGTGAGAGCTGGCAGACCTTAGTCTTTGTCTTTTCCAACCCCCTCATCTGAAGGGGAAGAATCTAAAATACAGAGAGTGCCAAAGACTTAGTCTGAAGTCACACAGCCAGTCAGCTGCACGGCCAGATCTTGCCCACAGGCTCTAATTTCTAGAGTACCTGGGCTCACTGCAGCTGTCTCATTGTATTATCTCCCAACAGCATCCTCAACTATCTGAATCCACCACAAGTTTGGAAGTAACTTAAAAAGCCCTCCAAAGTGACAATGGCGGGGAGGAATCTTGTAATTGAACAACAGTTTTTATAGTTTACAAATTTCTGGAACACATCTTATTTGATATGGTAAGTATTTATTGAGTCTTGTGGTAGGCAGGATTCTAAGATGGCCCCAGTTAGCTTTACCCTGCCGTTCATAAGGCTTTCACTGGCCAATTTTATTTTAGAAAAATTGGTCAACATTAAGCCATTCAGGAGGTAGCACATAATCGAAAGCCAATGGTATTGAAAGAAGTCCAAGCTGCACTAAAAGCATTAGTTAAAGACAAGCCTACAGGAATTAACAGAGTATCAGTTGAGATGTTTCAACAGACAGATGTAGTGCAGAAGCACTCCCTCGTCTGTGCCAAGAAATGTGAAGACAGCTACCTGGCCAACTGACTGGAAGAGATTGATATTTGTATCCATTCCAAAGGAAAATGATCCAGTAGAATGTGGAAATTATTGAACAGTATGAATAACACACACAGGTAAAATTTTGCTGAAGATAATTAAAAACCAGTTACAAGAGTATGTTGTTGTTATATGCCATCGAGACGGACCCAACTCATAACAGTCCTTCCTTGGGTTTCCGAGGCAGTATCACTATGGAAGGAGATTGCCCAACCTTCCTTCCGAGGAGTGGCTGGTGGGTTTGAACTGCCAGCCTTCTGGTTAGCAGTCAAGTGCTTTAGGCACAATGCTACCAGAGCTCCTTTACAAGAGTATATTGACAGGGAACTGCCAGAAATTCAAGGAAGATTAAGAAGAGGATGTGGAACAAGGGATATCATTGCTGATGTCTGGTGGATCTTGGCTAAAAGCAGAGAATACCAGAAAGAGGTTTATCTGTGTTTTATTGACTATTCAAAGGTATTTGACTGTGTGAAACATCATAAATTGTGGATAACATTTCAAAGAATGGGAATTCCAGAATACTTAGTTGTGCTCATCTGAGACCTGTACGTAGACCAAGAAGCATTTTTCAAAAAGAACAAAGGGTAACTGCATGGTTTAAAGTCAGGAAAGGTATGTGTCAAGTTGTGTCATTTCACCATACTTACTCAACAGTCCTAGAATCCTGCGGCATCAGTATTGGAGGAAACATTATTAACAATCTGTGATATGCAGATGGCACACCTTGTTTTCTGAAAGCAAAGAGAACTTGAAGCACTTATTGATGAAGATCAAAGACTACAGATGTCAGTGTAAATTAAACTAAAACCAAACTCACTGCCATCAAGTCGATTCCAACTCCTTAATATAAAGCAGCAGTAAAGAAAGTGAACAAAACTATTGCCCTGAGATAATCTTTAAACCTCAGACCAAAGATATCCCTGAAGTGTCCTTAAAACAATCATTCAGTTTAACTAGAAAAGAAAGTTATCTTGAACATTATGCTCTTTTAAAATCTATCTATATGGACTATTTACAATAGCCAAAATGTGGAAACTACCTAAATGCCCATCAACAGATAAATGCATAAACAGAATATGTTACATGCATACAGTGGAATCCTACTCAGCCAGTAAGAGAAATAGTCTTGATACATGCGATGTTATGGATGCAGCTTGAAGACATCATGCTGAGTGAAATATCAATCACAAAAGGACAAATATTTATGACCTCATTTATATAAAGTGAAGACCAGACAAATGTATAGAGACCAAAGTTTATTAGTGATTACCAGAAGTGGGAGGGAGGAAAAGAGGAGAGATTATTGCTTGTGGAGTACTGAGTTTCAGTTTATGGTGATGGAAATATTGCATTGATTACAGGTAGGATTGCACAGATGATTAATATAATTGTCAATAAATTGTATGCCTATAAAAAGTTGAACTGACAAAGGTTGTGTAATAGGTATATTGACAGTGACAAAAATAAGATAGAGGGTGCTTATGTACATCCAAGCACCTCATGGAATTTTGTTTCTTGGTCTAGGGTCATAGTTTTATGGGCTATCATAGTTAATTGGCCTAATATCATGTTTAATACTTCTACTTTTTAGTTTGTGGCATAGTGCCTATTGTCTTAAAATGTTTCAAGCAGCCATTCAAGGTACAATAGTTGGTCTCTATTCACCTGGAGCAACAGAGGAAAAAGGAGAGTCAGAAAGAAATGGAATATGTGATTAATTGCCTCCATGAATAACTGCCTCCTTTGTCATGAGATCAGAAGAACTGGATGGTGCCTGACTATCATTGAATGTTTTTATCAAAGATTCTATAGAAGAATCCTGATCAAAAGGAGGAAAATACAGAAGAGAGTTTCAAATTCTCACAGACTAAAGATTTTCTGGAACTATTGGGGCCAGATGAGCCACCGAAACTATTGCCTTGATATAATTTTTAAAACTTAAACCAAAAATACACCCTGCAGTCTTCTTAAAACCAAACAGTAGTTTAGCTTAACTAGTAAACAATGTCTGCCTTGAGCATTCT